ATTACAAAAGTCCATGGCTTACAGCGAAACAACAGGAAGTATGTAGGCATAGACAGGAAAACTTAACTAACGGCACGGGGTCTAACGTTAACGTGTGGATTCGTGTCGTGGCGTAATTCAACTGGATTAAATGCTGTTTACAAATGGCATTAATGTTGTATTATAGTATATACTATAACATTATACACACTCGCTCTGTCACATATATACAAATATATTAATTCATAAGTACTTTAGCTACGTGCATATGTAAGGTACGTGTTTGTAAGCCAGTTTGTCAACAGACATTTTGTAGAAAAACAACACAAATGAGTTTCACTATTTCCTATTTCACTGTTTACTGTTCGGCCTTTGTATGATGGCAGTATGTTCTCTGAAAGGACATGCCCGTATTGTCATTAGGTGTGACCATTGAGAGGCGGCTAGCAAAAGCACTTGCATTCATGCTTCAAATGCTCCATAATAGCGTGATGATGTTAATGTCATTGTATTTGCCGTTGATGCCTTTTGAGCTATTGTTTTGCACTTTTTGTAGCTCTGGTGGTTTTGTATTTAATAGTTTCGGTAATTAATGACATTGTTAGCTACATAACAATTGCCAGATGAGGGCAGGTTGCAGAAAGATATCAAACCAAATTTGGCATTTAATCGTTTGCAAGTTTAATTTCCTAATATCGAAAGCATATTAAATTGGTTGGAGCAACTCTATTGTGCAGGTCACTGACGCTATTCTTTAGTATAAAGAAATGAAGACGGAGATGGACTCAATTTTTGATATAAGAATATTTCTTTATTCTTGTATTCATCGATTTTTTATAACATAATGCTTTTAATCAAATCTTAATTAAGAAACAAACCTATTAATCAATATATTAATCAATTCTTTAATTTAGAATTCTTTATACATAATTCCTTAAATTTTTTTTCTCATGTGATCTCTTCAGAGATATATCACATGTATCCCTTTAATATATATGATATACATTTTTAAAGCATTCTTTTCACGAATCAAGCAGTTAAGCCAAGATTCTGACACTTGGAAGCGAAATTAGAACCAGAGTTAGGTGAACCAATGTCGATCGGCAATTTGACACCCTTCATACTTAGTTCAGCTAACAACTGGGAAATTGTAGATTCAGCTATTTCCTCTCTGAAGAGAGAATTGAGAGCTGCTAAACAACTTCGACGACGGTAAGAGATGGTTCTTTCAAGCAAGTGGACGGTTACTGACGTGATGATAAGACTAACGAATTGAGCTATTGCTAACGTATTACCCAACGGTGGTTCCTGAAGGAACTTTCGGTCCGGACGAAGGGAGTTTTTAGGGCGGTAGAAACTTCCCACTGACAAAACTTTCAAGCTTTTCTCCCACTCAACAAAAAAAAACCAAAAAAAACTAAGTAAAACACAATGTGGAATGCAACGCTTGGACTACGCCCGATATATAGTGTCAATATATGATTATATATAATAAATGTATTATTAATATACAATTTATACAACTTTTGTCAAATAAAAGAGTTTGCACTCCAAACCATACATGTTTATGCAGTGATCAAACAAAATCGAACGCAC